GAAAAATAAATATCTTATAAAAAAGCGGGGCGGCAGGAGCGGCCGGGATTGGGTCCGGGGCGCCCGTGGGTGTGAAGCCGAGTGCGCCGGGCGGGCGCGCCCCCAGGCTGTGCCCGGCGGCTGCAGCGCGCAGGGAGCGTGGAGCGGAGCAGCCCGCCCGTGTGTATCTGCGGGTTCCACGCCAGCAGCGAGACTGAAAGCGGCAGAAACTCCTGCTGACAAGCAGGCAAAGCGGGTCTGTAGTCTGCAAATGAAGAGAGAGATCATCTAGTGCCCCGCTTATCGTCCCGGGTTGTTCTGAAGTTTGGCGTGGTAAATACGAAATGCATGGCTTTTAATCCTGCCTGTGTTGTCCCAAGTCAGCAGCTGAGAAGGCAGAAGGGTCTCTAGCCGGGACTTTGGTCTTTGTTTGCGAGGGGAACCTGCTTTGTGTGAATTATTCATCATAATTGCCTATTTCCAAGCAGCTCCGCGGGGAGGCTCCGAAATGCAGTCAGGTCTCACTGGTGCCTGGAGAAAAGTGACGCCCGGAACCAGTGGAAGTTCAGGGACAACTTTAAGTTCCCGATTCTCCTCCCCACCGGGAACATTGGGGCCGGCATGGGGCTGAATAGGGGGAGAGGCCCGGGGACAAGGGGCATTTTGTTGCCTTAAGCCCAGCAAACGCGCCGATGCGTCTCTGCTCTGCCTGGTCTCCTTCTGCCGCCCCGAAAACAGGAGAGACAAAAATAATGTACGCGCCGAAACAAACAGGGGAGAAGTCCTGGTAAAATGGAGGGAAAGTAGTGGCTGTTTTTTATAGTCCAAGTGTATAATCGGATTTTTTTTTCTGTCCTGATAGAAAGCAGATAAATTTAGGAAGGGAGAGCTAAGAGAATAATTACAGGGTGAAGGTAGTTAAATTTTATTTCGAGTCCCAAAGGCAAAACCTGACATTTTATTGCAAACATCTGGAAGGCTTAAGAGACTGGCATGGTGTTTGTTTAAACACTAATAGAGATTTTTATTCTGTAAAACACAAACAAAGCCCATTTAAAAACACTTGAGACTGTAAATATTTTGCGGTGGTTCAATTCTCAAAGCCTGAGAAAACCGGGGGAATGGGAGGGGGAACGAATCGACAGCATAATAGGGGTATAATTATGAATTAGTTAATATATGCAACAATACCGTTTGTGCAGACCATAAAAATAAATTGCAGGCGTATTTTTTTTCCCCAGTCACAGTAACTGACCCCGCGCAGCACGGGAACATCACCTCGCTCGTGTTTCCAAGCGGCGACTTGTGCTTGCTTTAAACTTGCCTCTTTCTAGAGAGCCAGCCTCGAAATCCTCGATCCGTTCAAAGATAATCGGCGCTGTGTTAAAGCCCGGCAAATCGCTCGCTCACGTTATCAGACAGCCTGGTTTTAACGTTGTTTTCCATTACTAACTTTTTAAAAAAAGAGAAATAACAATAAATCCACGGGCTAGATCTGGGGAAACCTCCGGAAAGGTTTTTCTTGCTGTGGAGAAGGGTTTGAAAGTGGCCCAGCCCCTGCAAACAGCACATCTGGACAGCACTCCCGCCCAGCAGCCGGCTCCCCTTATTTCTCTTTTTTCCCCCCAAATATTTCCATATATAAACAAATATTTTTCAGGCTCGCTCTGCGACAACTGGAAAGCAGAAGTGAATGATTTCTTTATAAACCCCGAGGCCTGGCCCTGCGACCCTTGCTCCTGCCACTTTATTCCAGGGAGCAGTTTCCTGGATTTAATGGGAGCTACCCCTGCGAGTAAGAGTCTGGAATAAAGACCAGGCAAAGGGACGCATTCATCTCTGGCGGCCGGGGGTCGGAGTCGGATCTGAATCCAGATTAAGGCCAGGCCTCGGGTAGACTCGAGGTTTGCGCCGCTCGCCGCGGGGAGAGGGGACCCCGGCCCCGGTGCCGCTGCGGCCGAGGGGAGCCCCGGGGCCCGGGTGCGGGCGGCGCGGCCGCGTTTTGCTCTGCCAGATCTATCTCGGTGCAAAGGCTCAGCCGAGTTCCCGTCCCCCCGGCTCGGGGTTTTCTCTGAGTGAGAGAAAACCTCAGCGCAGGGGGCAGCGAAGCCTGCGAGGGGGCAGCTCTCTGTGCCCCCCGCCCCCCTCATCCCTCCCCTTTCCCCCGGCACATCCAGTGGGGCCGCAAGGTCGCTGCAGGGGCTGCCCTCTCTGCCCGCTCGCACGGCGGAGCGGCGGTGCCTTTGTGCTTGCCGCTTTCGCAGCGCCCGGCGCGGACGGGCACAGGAAGGGCGAGCAGTCCTAACCCTCCCGGGCACCGGGATAGGGCCAGGGAGGAGGGAGAGGAGCAGCCGTCGGGGCCGTGCATCCATCCATCCATCCCCGCGGTGCCGGGAGCGGTGTCCGGGACCGCGGGGAGCTGCTCTCCCGCCCCTGGCGAAAGGGTCTGCTCCCTGGGGTTTCACAATTAGGGGCCGTATTGGCTTGGAAAGCGCGCTGTGTCTCTTGTCGGTGCTGCAGAGGCTGTGCTCGGCTGCCAGAGCCGGGCGCGGAGTGCTCGGACACCTCAGCTCGCACAGGAGAGAGCCCCAAGGTAAGAGACCCAAAAGGGGTCGGGGCTGCTTTAAACCGTCCACCCGTAAAACCACACTTGCTGCTCTGGAAAACGTATTTCTGAGTTCTTACATCAGTTCCCAAAATTCGCTTAAATCTCCCTGCCTTTCCAGTACCATTTCTTTTCACTAAACCGCTATAAATAATCCACTGTTTTCTTGGGCTCTTTTGCTAAAATCTCCCTCCAGCTTCTTTGAAAGCCTTCCTCGGTGCCTGCATCCCAGACAAGTGTTTCCGAGGCTTTCGGAAAGAGGGAAAAGAATTGTTTTGATGGGGTTTTGGGGGGGATTTTTTTTTTTTTTTTTGAGACATTCCTTCGCCTGGGAAAAGACACACAGCTGGGGGACCCGCTGGAAACACGTGTGCCCTCCTCCGAGTCCCCGCTCCCGCTGTCGCCTTCCTCCAAGCCCCTGCCTGGGTCGCTCCTTTCTTGTTGCTACTCCTGCCCGGCACGGCTCCCCGCGGGGCCGGGGAGCGGGCAGTGCAGGGTGGGAATGCACGACACCCATCCCGTGTGGCAGCGCCGCTGTGCCCGCGGAGAGTGACCTGTCAAGGAGGTGCACTGGAGGGGAGGGGAAAGGAGCCACGGGGAGGGGGATGAGGGCTGCAGGGCGGGTGATGGAGACGTACAAAACCTGCTCCTCGGCCTAGATAACAGGGTTTAGCCGGGATTTCCGAAGAAATGGCTTCTTTCCCTTTTTTAATCTGAAATCCGTTTCCGTGCGTGGGAACGCCGGCGGGCAGTTGTCAGTCGGCGCTTTAGGCCGGGGAGAGCGGGCTGAAGGGCTCCGCCGTATCGCCGACGTGGGCACCATGGATTCTCTCGGAGCAAAAGGAAGTGCCTTTTCCCTCTAGGCTCCCACACGTGTCCCTTTCACTTGTTTCCAGCCCCATAGGAAAAAAATCGTCTGTGAAAAACTTGCCCTAAACAGCTCTGCACCTTCGGGGAGCAGCTGAGAAGCAACGGACAAAAATAATCCCTTCCTGAAAATTTGTGTGTCTCCTTGCCTGCTTTTCCACCACGGCTCGGTCCAGGCTAATCCCCTCTCGTACTTTATAATTATTTATATTTTATTTTGAACTTGTGTCGAATTAACCCCCCGCGGCTTTCCCCGCTGTATTTTCCGTGTACAGTGTTTCGCTTGACTTCACCTATTTTTTCGGGGTCCCACCAGCTAATGAAAACACACGCTTCTGTCACCTTCTCAAAAGCCGCCCCTGCTGCTTTTCACTGCGAGCCCCCCCGCGCCACGCGTGACCGAGGGGCGTGGGAGCAGCTGCGGGCCCGCCTCAGCCGGGCGGATGTCAGGGCAGAGTGAACAAGAGAGCAGAAATAAAATGCTGAATATTATCCAGGCAAGCAGCCGGGATTTGTACCTAGCGGCTTTGTTTTCGCTGTAGCTAGAGTGACAAAAAGGAGCGGGAAAGGGAAAAAAATATTTTTATCTAGATAAAAATCCCTTCCCAAAGAGAAGGCGCTCCCCACGCTCGGGCGTGTCTGGGTCTCCCTGCCAGCCCACGCCGCCCGCTCAGCCCCGCCGCTCCACGGACACGCATCGTTTTGAAGTGAAATTTCAACCCCCTCGAGACGTTGCTTCTGCTTCTGCCAAACACCGATTCCGCCGGCAAGGGCAAGTAATACATGGTATAAATGAAGTTTTAAAAACACCCCGTCACCCGGCGCCGCTGGGCGGTAAAGCACCTCTCGGGTGCTTTGCGTGGGGATTAGCCAGCAGCAGCGTTTGGGAAGCCTGGGTGCGGCGCAGAGAAGTGCGGGAGTTGTTACCTCTCTGTGTTTAGAGTTATGGGTTTCCTACTGGCTCCCCGTTCTTCAAACAGTTAATTCTCCCGGCCGGTGTTCCAGGACTCAGATGGCCAAAATTCCTCTCCCTCAAGCCCGAGTCTCCCTCCTCTCCCCATTGGGTCGCAGCTTTTGGGTCTCTCCCGAGCTCTCCCTCCTATTGGCCGGGGACATTTTTTTTCCCCTTTTTTTTTTTTTTTTTTTTTTTTTTTTTTTTTTTTTTTTTTTTTTCCTGACAGGCGCACGCAGCCTGCCTAACTCTTGGAGAAAAAAAAATCCCAGAAGTTTGGATCAATCAGAGAGAGACAGAAGGAAAGGGGAGAAGAAAAAAAAAAAAAAAAAAAAAAAAAAGAGAAATCCAGCCTGCTGCAGCCCCTCTGAGCAAGTGCTGGGACCTGGGCTGAGCACACCCTCCTGGCTCTGCCTGCGGAGTATCTGCAGCCTCATGTAGTGCCTTCAGGAGACTGAGGGCTGGTTCTTCTGGGGGTGCAGCTGGGGAGGGGTGGGGGGGGGAGAAAGAGGCGAGAAGCTCTGCCTCTGGTCCCCGAGCTGTGCGCTCCCAGCCACTGGTCGCTCCTGTGCCCAAGGGTCTGGGCTGGGGGATAAGATGAGTGAGAGGCGAAGATCGGCGGTGGCCCTCAGCTCCCGAGCGCACGCTTTCTCGGTAGAAGCCTTGATCGGGACAAATAAAAAGAGGAAACTGCGAGACTGGGAGGACAAGGGGCTGGATTTGTCCATGGAAAGCCTCAGCCCCAATGGCCAGCTGGGGGACAATGAAGACCCGACTCAGTGCCTGGACCTCAACCCTGGTTAGTGCGACTCCTTTCTCTTCGCAACCCCCCCTCCTGCCCCGCTCCCTCCCAGCTTCTCTCCCTGAGTCCTGTCGGGAGCTGCCCGCCGGGCAGCGCGTCCCGGAAAACATCCGAGACTGGGAGTACAGAAAAAAAGCGGGAATTTTGGGGAGATTTTTTTTTCTTTTTTTTTTTTTTTTTTCCTGTTGTTGTTTTTTGTGGGTTTTTTAATTGTTTGGTTGGTTTTTTCCTTTCAGTTTACGGGAACTTTCTCTCACTCGCTGTGTCTCTTTCCCCCCCACATAGCTCCATGATCTCCCGCGAGGGCCGGCGTGTCCCCTCTGCTTCCTTTTTAACCCTCTCTCCTTCCACTCCCTCCGTGCCTGCCGATCGCGATAGTCCTTCCCGAGTGTCTCGGGACAGGCGTTTCGTTTTGCTCCAATTTCCCCAGCCCCGAGTTGGAGTTGCCGGGTGGCTCGGGGGGCAAAGGAGTGGGGTGCGAGATGCACCCTTCTCCTCTTTTCCGAGTCACCCCCGCGTACTCCCCTCGGAAACAGTGACGCCCTAAGCAGAGGTGTCAGTGTAGGAGGAGGATGTGGGCATCCAGGATCAGCGCTGCTCTGGGGAGGGGGTCGCCAGCTCTTCGGAGCGATGGAGACCCGCTGTGTGCTCCCGCAGCTCGGGATCCTTCCCCCGGGACCGGACCCGCTGGGTTCCGGCCGGCGCGGCCTCGCTCCGCTCCCGGCACGGAGCGCACAAGCAGCGGCGGAAGCGCGGGGGACACGGAGGGCTCCCTTCCCTCTTCGAAGGGAAAACACTCCCGGCAGGGAAAAGGAGCTCAGCGGGTAAGGGGCACTGCGAGGAGTCCAGCCCCGCTCCCGAGCCTGGCTCCTCCCGGGAGCCGCGTATGGAGCAGCGCCGGGCCCGCAGCCCCAAGGCCGGCGAGACGGGGTTAGGGGACAGGGAGCACAACACTTCCCTCCTGGTGTCCTGGTGTACTTCGGGCTTTAAATTCTCGTTTGTTTGTTTTTATTTAAAAGGAATCCGGTAGCTCGCAGCTCTCATTTGGCTCAAGCCAAACCCTCGGTCTCCCGAGTTCTCCCTCTCTCTCCGGCCGCTCCTCTCCGGCCTAAAGCGAGGGCTCCGCAAACGCAGCCGCGGATCCGCGGCGATCCCGGGGGTGAAATCGCGCCGGGCCTCGCTCCCCGAGCTGTCCCCGCGCCCTTCTCGCCATCCCCGCACCCCGTTCCCCAGGGCCTTAGCAAGGGACGGAGGGAGCGGCCCCGCTCTCACAGTCGTCGTGTGGGGAGAAAGAGAATTTTAGGTGATTTCTCTTTGCTTTTAGTGCTCAGATGGGGCAAAAAGGTCAAACGATTTCTTCGCGCAGCTCTAAGAAAAAGGGTAGAAATATCCTCCTCTCCTGCCAAGTCCATTCCGCTGCATTTGGAGCACCTTTTAAATTTCGTTTTTATTTATTTTGCGTGACGTTCCCTGAGCTATCAATTAGCATAAGCTGCCCAAAACTAAGAGTAAAAACCCCAAACCAACAAAACAAAAACAAAAGGAGGCGAAAAAAAAAGAGAAAGAATTTTAGATCGAGGTATCAAAAATATTTGCTGCAAAAAATAATATTTAAAGTGTTTTTGAAGGGAGCTAAAGACCATGAAGACCTCGCCCCCCTACGTCCTCAAGGAACCGCATTTCTATTTGCTTTTAACAGCAGCAGCCTTTCTCGGTGCGGGTCCTAAGGAGAAGTAGGTAATATTTGCTGCCAGGGTCGTCTCTCTCAACGGAAGGACGGGCATAAAGGAGAGGGGACAGCAGCGATCAACCAGTCAAAAAATAGGCTACGGCTTCAGAGGCTTCCCCGTTCAAAGGAATAATTACGTGATCATGGACAAAAAACCGCTTTCTAATAACAGAGAGTATCTGTGCATCAGTCTTCTTTTTTTTTCTTTCCCCCCCCCCCCTTTTTTTAACTGTTTTTCTTTTTTTTTAGAACAGTTTTTCATATTTTTTTTAGCCGCAGTGGGTTATGTTTTTATACAGTCTCAAAGTTTAATTTGCTTATTTCTCAGTTAATTCGAATTGGAAAATTGGAAAACTCTCCATGCGCCAGATTGGAGAGCGGGAGAGAATGGCTGCTAGTGCCTGAAACCTCAGAAAGTAAACGTGATGTTTTTCATAAAGCAAAGGAAATCAAGAACAGTTTGAGAAATCATTTTTAGGAGGTTGATAGACTTTAAATAAAGTCCGCGACTGTAATTTGCACAGTCACTTCATTAAACCTAATTCCTCGGCGGTGTACTTTTGCTGCTGGGTGAAAATTGATTAGCGGCTCTATAATGACCACCAAATTCCATCTTTACAAGACCTAATTAAGAACAAACTTTACACCTAACGTATTTTAAACTTGCCAAATCTCCAGCGATATAGAAAAAAGAATTGGAAAAGGGAATTTTTATAGCGTCCCAAAGGTTCAACACTCAAAGCCGCTGCCCCCGAGCAGCGACGGGCTGTTCCCTCTGCTGCGGTACTGCTGGGACGGGGGTGCTTGCGGGGAGGCCGCAAGTCGTACAGTACGCGCTGGGAAATTATGTCCTGATTTTCGTGGGATAACCTACATCGGTCTAACCCCATTTATCGATCTTTTCGCCTAAATTGCCTCCATTTCAGCGCGGGAGGGTCTGAAAACTATTTAGTGTGGGGAGTTAAACGCGGCCACAAATAGAGTAAGGATTTGCTCTCCTTTTCCCAGATATTTTGCGTGCAAAAGGCGAGTATGAGGATTTCTCTCCCAAGCGCGGGACACGTCCTGCGGCAGGGGTGAGGGGGGAGGCGGCGGAGCGGCCCCGCTTCAGCCCCCGCGTCGGTGCGGATCTGTGCTGGATGTGCACAAGCCGCAGTGCCTGGGAGGCAGCGCTGCTTGTTTCCCCCGTTTGGCGGAATCCCTGACCCCTGACGTGCCATCTTACAGCCGTGCCCAAACTCTTCGGTGACGATATTGGCGAGACCGAGTCTCCCGAGAGACCTGCCCTCCCTCCGGGGCCGCATCCTCCCGGGACAAGCGAGGTGGCAAGCTGGGAGGTGCCGGGTCGGGCTGTGGCGTGGGCAAAGGGGAGGAAAGCAAGCGGATAAATCCCCCAGGTTTGTAAGGAACATCTCCCGAGCATCCGAGTTATTTATGTCTCAGCCACGAATTTTGTCGCCAGAGTTAATGTGCTTTTTTTACGAGACTCATTTAAAAGGGGGATAAACCTGGATTTTAATCATGTGCGGGTTCAACCACAAGTTGTGAAAAGGAATCCGGGATTACAGCGGCTCTCACCTTCTCTTTCCCACCCCGTGCACTCGGGAGCGCCGGGCCGGGGCAGGCAGAGCTCGCCCGGGGGCTGCAGGAAGCCTCTCCCGCTGCTCCGCCGCCGCCCAGGGCCGCGCTCCCGCATCCTCCTCCGGCACTCGGCTCTGGCCACCGACAGGCCAAAGGAGGAGGAGGAGGAGGAGGAGGGTGGCGGGACGCCCCTCCGTCCCCTTGGCAGGTTCGGTTTCAGAGGGCAGCAAAACAATGGGCTCGGATGTCTTCTGGGTATTTATAGATTTAACCTGAGCAGCGGAAAGGTCACGGGGGCCCCAGGCGTTGCCTCCCTTGATGAATATATTGTTTACTGTCCTTTACGGCCGTGGCATTCGTCGGCCACCCCAAGGGCGCAGGGACAGACCGAGGCAGAGCCGAGCGCGCTTCTTTCCTTGCCGAAAGTTTAAGAATTTTAAAAATTTTTGGAGTGTGGGTGGGAACGTGTTTCCGTGGACGCGTTTGCCTTCACAAGAATACGGCTTGCTCCTTCAGGCAGTCAGGGTCTCTTCACGGCGAGACGAGCACAAGCGCTTCAGAGGCAGAACAAAAGGCGGCTAGATAGACTTTTTCGGCTTTGGGACCGTCCTTTTCCTCGCGTGGAAACACACAAGCCATTTTGTAAACGAATTTTTGCTGCTAGTGCAGTCTTTGTAGCACACGTCCATCCCACCGGTATTTTTGGTTGCATATATTAAAAGTGCACCTACCGGTTAAAAAACCCCAAAACCACCCGAAAACAAACAAACAACCCCCAAACAACAAATTAAACAAAAGAAAGCAAGGCATTTTTGAGAGTTTAGTTATTCGTTCCTTGTGTTTATCTGAATCTACACTGGCGAACTACTGCGAGCCTCTGCAAAGAGAGAAAACACAAGGCACACATTTCAAGACCCACAATGTGTTTATTACATGTGCTTATCCGTAAGATTAAGATCCGAGAGTTTGACAAAGCCTTCAGTGGCTGACAAGAGTAAAACCTTCAGCTCTTTTAGCGCGGCATGTTGCTCTCCTGTGTCTCCCGGGAGGTTGCATCGATGTCCATCCCAATCCCGCTCCGCCGCGGGGTTCCTGCTCCTCCTTACCCACGGGCAAACCCTCTCCGCCGGCGAGGGTGCGGGAGCCACACAGCCCGCCCACCCTCCGGAGAGGTAAAGAGATTTTAAGAGCAGGACAAAATGCCATTGACCCTTCTACTTCCTTTATTTTATTTTATTTTTTAATACCCTTGCTTCTGAATGCTTATATTGATGAAGTCCGTTCCTCGATCAGTGGCTGTTAAACCCGTGAAGAGGGAGTGACTTTGTTCGGTTTCTCACTTCAGCTTTTGTTTGAGTGCTCGGTGGATGGGGCTAGGATTTCAAGAGCTAGCAGAGCAATTTTTCTCGCCTCTTTCCCTAGGTAGAGCATATTGGCATACATAGTCCTTTGCATGTTCCTTGAAGCTCGTGGACGAGCAATGCTCTGTGGCAACGAGATGTAAGACAAGAGAGTGTCAGCTTTGCCTTGCCGTGGGACTGGGTGTTATTGATGAGAAGTCTTTCTAACGAATTTGTGTGTGACTGGGATTGGATGAATTCATTCCACCTGTTGGATCATCAGTTTGCCTTTTTAAGACGGATACGGAGCTCAGTTCCGTTGCTCCCTTGTGTACACGATGGAAGGA